GGCGCGGAGGCCAGGGCAGCCGAGTTCAAGAAGCTCGTCGCGCAGTTCGGCGGCGGGCGGCAGGCGCGGAGGACGTGGGCCCCTTCGACCAGTTCTTGCTCCTCATCTGAGGAGGCGGGCCAGGCGGCCGAACCCTTCCTCAGGGCTTCTCCTCCTCCTCCTCTCCTCCTCCTCCTCCTCCTCCTCCTCCTCCTCCTCCTCCCCTCCTCCCTCCTCCTCCTCCTCCCCCTCCTCCCTCCTCCTCCTCCTCCTCCCTCCTCCTCCTCCTTCTCCTCCTCCCCCTCCTCCTCTCCCTCAGCCAGAGCGCCCAATCTTGCAGGTTCCTGCAGGGCCAGGGTCGCACTGACCTGGGCTTGGGTGCAGGATCCTGCAGGATCCTTCGCGTTGGCCCAGGCTTGGGCACAGGATCTTGCAGGATTCTGCAAGGCCTGACAGACACGGGTCTCCATTGACCCGGGTCAGAGGATCCCCGCCCCCCCCAGGCTGGGCCCCCCGCCTTCGCCAACCAGCCGGACGCTTACGAGAACCCACTCTGGAGCCCAGGGCTGGGACGATTGAGGCCCACAAGACAAGCCCAGCGACCGTGCGTAAAGCATTCAACGCATTGTTCACGCCGCCCCGAGTTGAGGCTCCATCGCGGGCGCCGACATTGCCCTGATCAGCTGCGTGTGGGACAAGGAGCTGCATTGCAAGCAGCAGCATCATGGCGCGACCGCTACGGCCCACAAGTACTTTGCTATTCTGGTCCCCACAGTGACCGAACGTGGCAACCACAAAGAATTCCTACAGTTTCTTCGCCATGGCTGAGCCGCCCGGCGACTGGGCCTCCGACGCCAACGCCACCCACGGCGACAGCGAGGGTTTTCTTTCCTACCCCCTTGCACCCCAGCGTGCTAGTATTCCGCTTACTACGTCACGACCCCCCCACGACCCCTTGCCCGACGACCCCGACGACAGCCCCCGCGGACCCCTGCCCTACCCGACCGCCCCAGCGACCACCCGCCCGACGGCCCCCACGACGGCTGCGCCCCGAGTTGCTGCGTGCCCTGGGCGGGAGCCCTTGGAGGCATACGGGGAGAAGCGGCCGCAGGGCCATAGTGGCTGCTGGCCAGGCCAGATCTGTCGCCGCCTGCCCCGCGACGGGGTCCCTCAGAGGGAGCCCGTGGGGGGCATACCCAGGGAAGCGGCCTTAGGGACAGCCGAAGCCACCCCGTAGAACCCCCCACCCGACCCGACCAACCCATAAGCCCCAGCGACCCACCACCACGGCCCCCCGCGACGGCCACGCAGCGGCCCCCGCGACGGCTCCCGCGACGGATCCAACGACAGCCCCCGCCGGCTGCCCCAGCGACGGCCCCCACAACGGCCCTGCCGCGACGGCGACGAACACGACGCCGGCCACGACGGCGAACACGACCACGACGGAGCCCCCCTTCCCTGCAACGCCGACCCCAATGACCGCCTGGACGGGCGCGAGGACTGCCTGACCGCAGGCCAAACCGACGCGCCCCGAGCGGTCGGTCCAGCGATGGCTGGGCGGGAGGCCCCGAGCCGGGCGGCACGGCGCTGGGAGGGACACTCCCCGCCGTCGGCAGGCACAGCAGTCCCTTCGCATCTGCCGGCCGCCCTGCCACCCCATGGCCATGCCCGTCGCCGCCCTCGAGCTCCCTGGCCCCCGCGGCTTGGCATTCCCGAAGCAGGCTGAGTCCGACCTCGCTGACCACGCCCTCGTGCGTCGCGTCGGCGGCCTCAATGTGTTCGACGAGGATACTAGCCGGCCGCTCTGCGGTTGATCGGGAGTTTCTGTATATAGAAGAAGGTGCGTGCGCTTGTTGGCGAGGGTGAGGATGAGGTTCCTCCTCCTCCTCCTCCTCCTCCTCCTCCTCCTCCTCCTCCTCCCATCCTTCTCTTGCCTCCGTCTGTCCTCCTCCACCCCACAGCTCCATCATCTTCTCCTCCTCCTCCTCCTCCTCCTCCTCCTCCTCCTCCTCCTCCTCCTCCTCCTCCTCCTCCTCCTCCTCCTCCTCCTCCTCCTCCTCCTCCTCATTCCTCCTCTGGGCACCTCCCCCGGGGCGCGGATCCACCGGATCTGTCCGGATCTGTCCGGAAACGGTGCCGGAGGCCGCTCTGGGCTCCTCTGGGCACCTCCCCCGGGGCCGGTTTTGTGAGGATGTCTCAAGCGAGGGCGCCGGTTTGGGATTCGTCCCCGGATCCAGCGGATCCGTCCGGATCCGTCCGGAAACGGTGCCGGAGGCCGCTCTGGGCTCCTCTGGGCACCTCCCCCGGGGCCGGTTTTGCGGGGATGTCTCAGGCGAGGGCGCCGGTTTGGGATTCGCCCCGGATCCAGCGGATCCGTCCGGATCCGTCCGGAAACGGTGCCGGAAGCCGCTCTGGGCTTCTCTGGCCACCTCCCCCGGGGCCGGATTTGCGGGGATGTCTCAGGCGAGGGCGCCGGTTTGGGATTCGTCCCCGGATCCAGCGGATCCGTCCGGATCCGTCCGGAAACGGTGCCGGAGGCCGCTCTGGGCTCCTGTGGGCACCTCCCCCGGGGCCGGTTTTGTGGGGATGTCTCAGGCGAGGGCGCCGGTTTGGGATTCGTCCCGGATCCAGCGGATCCGTCCGGATCCGTCCGGAAACGGTGCCGGAGGCCGCTCTGGGCTCCTCTGGGCATCCCCCCCGGGGCCCGTTTTGTGAGGATGTCTCAGGCGAGGGCGCCGGTTTGGGATTCGTCCCGGATCCAGCGGATCCAGCGGATCCAGCGGATCCGTCCGGAAACGGTGCCGGAGGCCGCTCTGGGCTCCTCTGGGCATCCCCCCCGGGGCCCGTTTTGTGAGGATGTCTCAGGCGAGGGCGCCGGGTTGGGATTCGTCACCGGATCCAGCGGATCCAGCGGATCCGGATCCGTCCGGAAACGGTGCCGGAGGCCGCTCTGGGCTCCTCTGGGCACCTCCCCCGGGGCCGGTTTTGCGGGGATGTCTCAGGCGAGGGCGCCGGTTTGGGATTCGTCCCCGGATCCAGCGGATCCGTCCGGATCCGTCCGGAAACGGTGCCGGAGGCCGCTCTGGACTCGTGCTCTTCGCGCCGGGGGTGAGGATGACGTGAGTTCCACAGAAACTCCCTCAAATCATGTCTCCTCGCTCGGCAGACAAGGCACCTCGAGTCGAAGCGTCTGTCTGGCCGTCCGCCCTGCTCCACAGGTAGTCGGAGATGAGGGTTGTGCGGGGGTCCCTTCTCCTCTGCTCCTCATCCTGCGCCTGCGCCCTCTTGAGCTTCTCGTCGAAGTCGCTGCGCACCTCCTTTCTCGTCGGCGTAGCGTTACTGCTCCGGGATCTCGCCCTATGGGCCAGGTGGTGGCGACTCCGCTCCTTGCCCAGGGTAACCGCATATAGCGGGCTCAGGCTATCCCCTCGGCAGCTGGCTCCGTCTCCGTGGCCGCGCCTCGCTTCCAGCAGATGGCTGGGGGCTGGGAGCTGATGAACTCATCGAGCAGCTCTGGGCGCGGGGCCGACAGGGCGCCATCGGTGATGGAGAAGACGAGGCCAAGGCCAAGGCCGACCGCCCCCGCGTCGGTGCGGGGGTCGCTCTCGGTGGTGTCCTCGGCCGGGCCGGTGGAGTTGGCGGGGAAGCTGCAGTGCGCGTCCCAGCTTGCGTCCGCGTCGGCCAGGGGGGGCCCTCGCGTGGATCAGCCAGGCCGCCTCTGCTGCCGCCTTGGCGGGGCGGCCCTCTCTGGCTCCCGCGCTCGCCGAGGCGCGCTCCTCGCGCGCCTCGGCGGGCCTCCTGTCCTTCGGCATGGCGAAGGCTCGGCCTCTTCTCGTCCTCGGGCCTCGGGGTATAGTGGAGCGGCCGCGCCAGGCTACGGCCCGATCGGCCGCGTGCGTCGCGCAGAGGGGGAACCCGTCCGTCTCCGTGGTCCTCTCCCTGTGGCACTGGGCACGGGCGCACTTCCTCTGCGCCGCCCGCGCCTCGCAGGTCTGCGCGTGGAAGGCGCGCGCGCCCGGAAAGGACGGGTGCCGCCCGCCTTTGGGGCGTCGCGCGCATCCGGGATCGCCGCATGTTCCGCCAAGAGGTAGACTGGGTCCTGGCGGGCTGAGTCTCTGCAGCCCCTGGGGCACAGGACCTGCGTGCCCCCCTTCCCGAGGTGGGCGATCTTGTTCGCTTCGCAGATGTCGACGCCGGGCTCCGACTCGGTCTCGGAGTTGGGATCCATCTCCTCTGCCTTGCCGCCCCCCTTGCCGGGCCTTGGGTGCCTCCAGCGCCTCCTGGATCAGCGCCTGATCATGCGCTTGACGAGCTTGCCAATGCTCCTGCAGGTTCAAGCGCAGCAGACCCTGCCGCCCGCTTACGCGCGGCCTGCGGGCGTGAGCTTGGCCAGGTCCGACATGTTGATCTGGAAGCTGGCGTTGACCACGCACGACGAGCAGACATGGGCCACGTTCCTCTCGCCCTCCGGCAGGGTGCTCGGGGCGGTAGACGTACCCGCGCCTAGTGAGGCGACAACCTTTGAGAGGCCCCTGCTCCAGACGCGCCGTTGACCCGCCTGACTTCACGATGAGGTCGTTGGACATCATCCTTTCGGCGATGCCCCCTCTCGCGCGGACCTCGTTCTTCACGTAGGCTTCGCCCAGCGCCTCAAACTCGGATGGGCGATGCCGGGAAAGAGGTGAGGATGGGTCGCCTTCTAGGGCCACCTTGACATCATGACCCGTCTTGCCACCGTCAGCGAAGTCCCTCAACGTCCTTGCGACGAACGCGGTATGCGCCCATGCCGTTCGAAGGGACCACGCTACAAAGCCGACGACGGAGCTCAAGATGGCGCCCACCCCGAACGCCACGAGTCCCATGAGCGCCCACTGCAGCTTCGCCCAGTACTCACCAAACAGGTTAAACAGGTAACGACCCATGGCGTCGACCATCCCCATCATGAAGTAGATGAGCTGGTGCAGCACAGCGCCCAGCTCGCGCCCGACCTTCTCGCCAAGCCACATCAAAGCTGCCTCGATCCACATGTTGATGATCCGGGACATGCTGACATGCAC